ACGGGGACGTGGGCTGAAGGTGTGGGAACGCCTGTGAGGGTCCCAGGGCTTCCTTTTGCTCCTCGAGCCTCCTGGAGGCTCCTTGGCCTCGCTCTCTTGTTTAGTCTGGTTGAACTCAGCGCCGTAACTCGTGTTGTCTTCGGTGGGATGGTTGATAGGTGATTCATCCAGGCTGCCGTCCGCAACTGCTGGGCGCTGGCACGGGACACAGTGGAAGGACTGAGGCAGACTGAGGCTGTTGGATGCTGAGAGCGAGCGGTCTGAGCCTGCTCCCATCCGTTTCCATTCCTCAGTCCCCGTTCCTGCCCATCTGAGCCTCCTACCACGAGAAATGTGCCTCGCTCAAGAGCAGGTTGCCAGCTCAGATTTGCAGACAGGCAGCTGAGCCAGGGGTGTCCTCCTCCTCCTCCTCTGGAGTTGAGATCCCAGGTGGCTATCCCAGAGTGTCACCGGTGGGTTGACCCCCTGGCCAGAGCTGGTGTGGCCAGGAGAAGTTTGCAAAGCTTCCCAAAATGGGGCTGACTCCTCTGCAAGCTCCAAGCATGCTGTTATTTCCCTCTGTTTTAGGGAGAGCCACGCCACCAGAGTCAGCGTATGAGACATTTAGGAAACCAAAAAGAGAAGCTTTTTCCAAACTCCACAGCTGTGTCTGTGGATTAGAACAAGGCAGTAGCAAGGGGTTGCACTAGAGAGAGAAGGAAAATGCCACCTGGAGGGAGCTGCGTCTTCCCAGCAGCCATTAGTAGAGCAGAGATTGATTTTCAAAAGCTGCCTGGGGAATTGGGTGCTTTGGGGCAGACCAGTCCTGGGAAGGCAGGAGCGTGGAAATGAGGGGGAAGAGAGTCCTGCAGGGATGTTAACTGCTTGCAGTTGGGAGTGTCAGCATCCCACTGCTGAGCACAACTGCCCCATAACCTGTAATCGGTGTGCAGCAAATAGCACCTTTTGCTCTGTGCACAGCACTTTCCATAGTGATGTTGAGATCTGCTCTGGTTTTTTTACTGCTGAGAAGTGAACACAGGTGAGGCATCCTGAGAGGAGCCAGTCATTTGTCCTTGATATCTGTAACAGCTTATTGCTTTATTTAGCGTGACATCAATTATTTATTACTATTAATGAAGGACACAGATGGCTGTCTGGTCAATAAAATATCTCCTACTCCACAGAGATGATCTACTTAGCTATCATTTACTCTGCAGAGAACCTTTGGATTCTTTCTGAAATTTAATAACGTGAGCAGAGATACTATGGCAATCTAGAAGGTTTGTGCTTCAGGGCTGCTCTGGGAGGCTGAAATCCTTCTTTATATTTGCTGGCGGGGTGTGTGAGAACACAAGTCCAGACGGGAAAGAGAAGCCCCTTTGCTTTCCATCACAAGCTACTTATCCATATAATCCCTTTTATAAAGTGATCAAGCTCCTTCTTAAAAGATAGTTGGGTTATTTGCCCTTCTCAGGAGTAGACCGTTTATTCATATCAAATTTGCTTCCTCTTGCCATTACTGCCCATTAGCCTAACTCTTTCTTTTCCATCTGATTGCCTGCCCTTTTGATGTATTCACAGATGTGTGTCTCTGTTTGGCCTTTTTGTCCTGCTTGTGTGGTGAATTTGAGCTTTTTGTTCTTTCCCTGGGAAGATTTCTCTCCTGCTTTCCCTGTGCCTTGGTCTTAAGCAGAATGGAGCAACACTGCACTGATCTCTCACTATGGCCTCATGCATTTGGGTCGGTGTTTCTCCACTGCTACAACATCCCAAGATCACTTTTCCTTGGCAGGGCCATGTTAGTGGTCAGTCATGTGGGCCAAGTGGTCCAAGTGTTCAAGGCCAGGTTGGAGCAACCTGGGCTAGTGGAAGGTGTCCCTGCTCATGGCAGAGGGGGTGGAATGTGATGAACTTTAAGATCCCTTCCCACTCAACCATTCTATGATCATCCTCTCACCATTCCAGCAAAAGCAGCTTTTGCCTTAGTTCCATTCCACTGACAAGGTCCCAGTCTAAATCTAGAGAACAACTTGTTTTCTGCTCCTAAGGAAGGCTTAGGAAATTTCATTCCAGCTGCTCTCAGTGCACTGTGCACTGAACAGACTGAGTTGTCTTGTGTGAGATGAACAAATACAGTCACTGTGTGCTCTGCTTTGCCCTGGGGAGAGCTCAGGATGGCAGCTCCCTCCATTGGCTGCAGATTGACAGCTCTGGGTACTTGGCTTGTCCCTGGGGTGTCCCTTCCCTGTCTTTGCTCCGTGGTCTGTGCAGTCTGGCACCACCAACAATCTCACTGCTCCTTATACAGGTGCAGAAAAACTCCCAGACTTAGGGCTGAGGTTTCAGCACCTTTGTATCTGGTTTGCTGTTTTCGTAACAACCTCCTTGCTTTTGTTTTATTATAGCAGGACCAACGAGAGGGGAGAGTTCCCCAGAGGCTCAGGACTGAGCACAAAGCACTCTCTTGCTTTGTGGGTTTTCTTGGAAGGATTTGGCTCAACCCAAGTTGAGACACTGATGGCAGACCCCGAGAGCTTCATTTCCTCCCATGCAGAGGGACAGAAATACACTCCACACCTGGGCAGATCTGATCCCTGGCAAACCAGACTATCGTGGGAGGCAGCTGCTGCTGTGTGTCAGGGCAGTGCTCACGGCCAGCCTGTTCCCTCAAAACTACCCAGAAAGACCATGGGAGATGAGCACTCAGAGCACTTAGTGCCTGCCTTAAAGAGAGTTAGCTGTGCAATTTTAATCATAGAATGGTTTGTGTTGGAAGGGACCTTAAAGATCATATCATTCTAACTCCCCTGACATGGGCAGGGACACCTTCCACTAATCCAGGTTGCTCCAAGCCCAGTCCAACCTGGCCTTAATACACACTTTGATTCAGTGGTTGCACATGACATTTTCCATCTCATTTCCAGTCTCCTGCAAGTCTGGTTCCACCCTCAGCCCATCCCATCTCTTCTGCTCCCTGGCACAGATGTCCTGGCTGATGCTCCTGGACTGCCCAGTCCAAATCTCCTCTCGGTCTTGCCCAGCTCTCATCACAGTCTCTCTGCCCAGCTCTTTTCTTTCCTACCCCTCAGCAGCTGCTTCCCGACTCAGAATGCTCCGGAGGAAGGCATGAGATCCCACAGCAGGATGATCTGTCCCCCTGTGAAGGTTCTTCCTGGTCAGAAGGGAGGTTGTTTGAAGTCTGAAAAGCCTTAAAACCTTTTGCTCTACTTCAACAACACATTCTGTTCCTCCTTCTTTGTTATATGTTTGTGATTCATCGGGTTTGTAAGTCACGGCAGTGTCTGTTCTCAATGACTCCTGGTGACAGGGAGTTCCCCAATCCAGCCCAGCGCCATAGGAAAAGGGATGGAAATGAAAGTTGGAAATGAGCAACAGGGCTTTGTTTGTTTGCTTAAACCATAAACCCAGAGCTGAGGGACTCGCTCAAGGCCGGGCAGCGCTCATGACTTCCAAGCAGTGATTTTACCGCTGCCAACCCAACCTGCCCCTTGAGTTGACTTGGGATTTGCTGCGGACCTGGGGCCGGGAGCTGGGTTTTGCTGCAGAGACCAGTGACAGAGCTGCCTGAAAAAGTTTGGAAAGAACAAGTCGTGCTGGGAGCATTAAAATGAATAATTAAGGCTTGGATTCCTTCGGGGAGGAAAAGAATTTATTGCTGCTCTTTTCTCTAGCCAAGGGGGACATTTGTTACCGAGTTGTGTATTTTGAGACAAGACGCAAATGCGGTTTGGGGGGCTGGGGACAAGGGGATTTTTTATTCTACCTGGCTAATCCAGCCTCACAGTGCAACATTCTGAGCTGGTTATACCACTAGGTTGTTCTTTACGGTCTGTACCAAGAACCTGTACTCTTGCTATGTTTCAGAAGTCCTCAGTCACTTTTGCTTTTAGTAAAATAAAGTGCTGAGAAGGAAATTCCCCTCCTCCCTCTGCTGCGATGTCTTGACATTTACACACGCACCGGGTACCCGGCACAGCAATCTGGGCCCAGGTTTGCTTACAGCAGCACAACTCTATCAGCTGCAGCAGCTTCTCTGATTCCCATCACTGGGAATGGGGGCACAACCAGGGCAGCTGCTCTGTCTTTTTTCACTCCATGGTACCTTGGGCTTTCAGTTACACCGGTGTGAAATGGGAATTAAAGGCAGTGAGCTCTAACCGATAGACAGCCTGCCCACTGCGAGGAGACAGGTTGCACAGCAGTGGATAGTCATGCCCAAAAAGCTTAATAAATGGAGCGTTTTCAGTTTCAGCTGTGTCATGATCTAAATGTTTAATAAGCTTTATAAACCAGAAGACCAAAAAGAAAGGTTTTTTTTAGTATTTTTAATTAGTAGGTTTCTTCGAATGCTTATAAAGAACCAAGTGTTCTTCAGCACAGCTGAAGGAGCTCCAGTCAGAGCTCCAGGAGCTGGCAGAGTGCACAAGAAAGGGAGTGCAAAGCTACTGACTGTCATTGAATTAAAAAAAATAAAATCCAGGACATCGAGAACAATTCCATCCCAACTCTAATAATGTCTCTTTTCCTGCTAATCTGAGATAGCAGAAGCACATATTGCTGAGGCAGGTGATTTTTGGAAAAGGCTACTCCCCGTTTAAGAGCTGAACATGCAGCAAGGGCAGGACCCTCTTCTGGGTCCCTGAAGCTCATCCTTGGATGATGATCCTGCCTGCAGTGTCTGCAGCGAGTCCACAGGTTCTCTCTGTGTGCTGTGAGTGCAACCATTGCTGTCCAAACAGTGACTTGGCCCTGGCCCCAGTTCCTGCAGTGGTTCCCTGCTACAGCTCGTGGCCCAAGCGTGTCTCCTTCTCTCCTTCTTGCTTTGTCCCTAGGTGGCATTGTCCTTATAGACTCGGGGCATTCCATGACCACAGCCAGCTAGAGTCTGTTGGCTGCCTGTGCTGTGTAGAGACGTTCCTACAGTGATTTTTAAATGGTCAACAGTAATTTTGCACCTGTAACTGACGTTTTGGTCTTGCTCATCTCTTTGCCCTCCAGGAGAATCCTTGAGCTTTGCGGATGATTTGCTTTCTGGCCTCGCAACGTCGTGCGTGGCAGCGGGTCGGAGCCACGGAGATGTCCCTGAAACCAGCATCTATTCAGTCATTTTCAAGTGCCTGGAGCCAGATGGTCTGTACAAGTAAGGAGAGGCATGTGGGGAGGTGCTGGGGGCAAGGAGGGATCTCCAGTGCTGTTATTTAATTTTTATTGACCTTTTTGGTCAGCGCTGTGTCCAATTTGTGCGCACCAGACACTGGGAAAATGTTGAGACTCTTCCTGTTGCTTTGGGTGTTACCTCAGCTGGTGAAATGGAAAACCAGAGTCTGCCAATATGGAGCTGGAGGCACTGGGAGTCAGTGGGAGACTCCAGAATAACTCCCAGTTTCAGTATTCTGGGCTTCCAGGTCTGTGCCTCGTGGGCAGGCTTGTCTCTCATGGATGAACTGAGCTGATGAGGTCAGATTGGAGCAAGTTGCTGAGTGTCTGGTGGGCTGAAATAGATTTCAAAAGTGTGATAGGTGCTTCTATAAGTTGCTGTTCCTATTAGTAGGGCACATACAGCAGACCAGAGACCAAATCCCTTTGCCCACCACCCAGTTATTTTGGCAGGGATGGCTGGTCATGCCCGTGCTGATGCTCTTGTACACTTGACTCTTCTGAGATATTCTTTGAGCACATGGGATTGGATTTTCTGTTTCAATCCTGTGGAGTAATTAGTTTCCAAAGCAAAGGGAAAATGTCAGTATCTGAATTTTAATTTCTTCTTCAGTGTTGTTTGGAAGGGATTTGGGCTTTCCATCCTGGCTCGTTAGCCAGGGCATCCTCTTTCTTGAGAGGGACATCAGGAGTCAGACCAGTAAGAGAGGAAAAATAGAGAAGAAAGGCAAGGAGACAGAGGAGAGACAGAGTAAGCAAGAGAGAAACACCCAGGGCTTAATGTCAGAGTGACTGTAATAATTAAAACACATTTTGTAGTGAGTAATGAAACTTTTTATGGGACCACAAAAGCATTTAAAGCGAGAGCTGGCAAATAGTCTGTCAGCAAGAACTTTTTAAGACCTTGATTAATACTTTCCCTTTGCCTCCCCCTCCACCACCCCCAGTTAAGTATGTTGACAGCCTCCGAAGCCTTTATTGCGCATCCCTGGAGCAGGGCTGTCTCCAGGAGCGGGCTCCAAGTGATACCTCTCGCCATTTAACAATTTCAAACGTTCTCTTGTTAAATATCTATAATGCATAAATATAATTATTAATATCTCTGGCTGCTCTGAAAAGGTGCCAGGGAGAGGCTGGAGAGACCGCAGAGCTCGTTAATAACCCGACGCCCATAAAACCGACCGGTTGTGAGCTCTCAGCCGGTCTGCTCCCGGCTGCCAGGGGCACTGGGAGAGGGAAGAGCCACTGGGTTTGATGGAAGCTGCTGCCACAGTGAACACACTGAGCTGGGAGCCAGCAGGTCTGGCTCTTGGGCAGCCTGGGCTACCAAATCATCTTCCCCATCTGCCAGGCGGGGATAATTGCGCTCACCCGTCGCTTGAGGGGCTCTGTGATCTAATTCCTGATGTCTGCAAAGGGCTGGGAGAGCCTTGGGTGGAAGGCAGAGGGCTTTGTCCAGGGTTTTGTCATCCCTGTGGTCAAAGCCAGGCTTCTGCTTCCCAGTGGTGAGGCGCATTGCCATGGAGGGGATCAGCAGAGCTGGCAATGCCCCGTGTCCTGGGGGTGGCTGTGGGCAGCTGCTGTTCTGTGGGTGCCCCTGGGCAAGGGACAGTAGCTTTTGTGGGGAGCTGTGGCTGCAAGCAGCCAGCAGGCAGCAGTCCCCTGGCACCAGGGAGCTTTGGACCCCGTCCTCTATGGGTACAGGCCCTGGGGTGATGCACAGTGTTGGTTCTGTCCCACAGCTAATGCTCAGCAGGGCTTGTCACGCTGTTCCCAGGGCTGTGCACTCATGGATGGACACATGTCCGTGTTGGCACCTCTGGGGCTTGGACCCACACTCCTGGGCATCCAAAAGTGCATGTAGGCACACTACAGCCCACCCTGCTCAGTGCCTGCTGCTGCCCCAGCACAGCAGCGTGGACAGATAACCCCCTGCCCCACATGTTTGCATGTGTGCCGTGGGTGCTCCATATCCAACACACACACACACACACACGTTTGCTCCCACCTGGGACCCAACCAGCACATGTTTACTGAGCATTCTCAGATACACAGGCACCCACGTTAAATATTCCTCTGCTCAGATGTCCACACGGTTGCAACACAGCGTGAAGAAAGCCAGAGCAGTGAAATGTGAGGCTGATGCTGCTCCGCGCCCGCACAGACGGAACAACAACACAAACACGGGCACGGGGTCATTTCTTAAATTGAATTTCTTCTGCTTGTTTCATTTGTTTCTGTGGAAAAAGAGCTATCTTGGAAGGCTCCGGGCTGGGTATAATCCTGATTATAGCCACTCACAGGGCCCTGTGCTCTTCTCTAGGCTGTGAGGTGAGCACACAGCCTTCAGCATCAGAGCTCTTCAAAAACAAGTGATTTGCTTGTGAAGTAGTCTGAGGGTATCATGTAAACCAAGCATGTGAGATCATAGAAGTCTCTTCTGCTCTGTAAATGTGTCGGACATCCCGTCCCTTTTCTTCTGTGGTACCTACAGCAATTACATTCTGCTGTGGACCATTTGTTTGGAGTATTCCCAGCCTGAGATCAAAGCTGGGCTGCAGTATGAAAACAATCCCAAAAAATGCTCTACAAGCAAACAAATAAACAGAGTTTGATTGATTCCTCTGCTTTTGAGACTTCTGTAATTCCAAAACATAAACGAATAAAAGGAGAACTAATTTCTTTGTCCTTTGTAATTTCAGTCTGACGAAAATATGTTGCCTGTCAGCCCTTTTCTTCCCCTTGCCTGTAGCACATTGGGGTTGAGATACTCTGTCCTTGCACAGAGGGTTTTCCAAGGAAAAGTAGGTTGTATCAACAAAGACACGTGCTCCACAGGCTTGTGTACACGTATGGACACTCCTGACAGTCTGTCACACATGGATGCCCATCCATGGGGATCCATGCTGCAGTCATGGGAATGAACTCATGTGCACACACACAGGGATAATGAGGATGGTCCTTGAAGGCTGTCAAGTTTGGTTGAAGTTCTTAAAAAGTAAAAGTCTTATATTCCTGCAAAATGCATCACAGGAGAAGGGATTGCTCTCCCCCGAGGGCAACTAGACCAGAGCAGTCTGTCAAGCTTCCTCCCAGGTGGATCTGGAAGAGAATTGGGGTGAAGAGGGCAGAGGTAGAGATGTCTGTGTGTCTCTTTAGTGCTCACCTGGCATGGACCAGCCAGCCCAGCCAGCAGCCAATGCCACTCAGACTGATGCTTTGGGAGCCTGGGAGCACCATGCTGTGACAGGCTCTTGTGATGGACCAAGCACCAAACACCAGTCAAGAAAAAGGGCACTGGCTTTTCTCAAAGGTCAGACTCAGCCTGGAGGACTGACTATCTCACAAACCCATCTGATCTCTTCACCGAGGAGACAGGAGCTTCCCTTGTGCATCGACAGCCTCCGTGAGCCTTCAGCCCAGCCCATCCATCCCGGCTCCTCGCCCCGTCGCTTGAGGAGTGCCTGGGGATGCCTCATCCCTGAGCTGTACCTGCTCAGCTGCTTAAAGCAGCTCTGCCAGCCCAGCACGTTCATTTCAGATGCCTGGGGAGGCACCAAGTATCCCTCAGCCAAAGAGGGAAATTTTGGAAAGGGAAGTGAAAACCCCCTCCAGCTCCTCAATGGAGCTGCAGTGCAAACACACCAACCTCTTCCCTGCGCCACAGATACTATAATTATAGATTAGATTAAATCCCAGTGTTTCACTTTATTTACATTCCTGACCTAGCCTATTCATTTCCAGTGTTTGTGCCAAGAATCAGCGCAAAATTTACTGGAAATAATATGGAAGTCATCAGGATTCCTTCCAGAGCCTTTCCTTGGAGTGTGTTCATGTGCTGAGAAGGAGCTTCGACTTTACATTCCCTTTGCTGGCTCAGATGGGGTTTTCCCAGGGTGATTCTGAACCAGCCCAAAGGCTCTGGGAGAGCACGTTTCAGGGGTGTTGGAAAAGTGGAAACCCTTTTCTAGGGTATGGAGATCCAGGACTGCTGTAGGATGGAAGGGGATTTGGTCAGACCTGAGAATGACCACACAAGGGCTCCTGTCTGCAGCCAAGACCAACCATGTCCTGCTCAGCCAGAGTCATCCTCTGTAGGGTCTGGAGGCCATTGCCAGTGTGACCAGGCTCAGCCTCTGTCATTGTATGCTGGATAACACCAAACATCCTTTTTTTGGTGAGCTTAAAGAAAGAGGAAAAGGTGTGGAGTAGGGAGAACCCATGATAGCACAGAGAGGCAGCGACTACAATTCCATGAGCTGAATGTGCTGGAGGAGCTGGCCCAGAGCAAGGCTGATTAATGCTGAGTGACCTCTGCCTTGTCACTCAGCTGGGATAAAAAGTGGAATGGAAACCCTTGGTGCTCAAGAGTGTGTTAATGCTGGCAGCAGTCTGCTGCTCCTTATATGATACTAATTGTTATTGTTGGTCTCTCGTCAGGAAGACGTGAATGAGCGCTGGAGCAATTGGAGGCAGATCTCAAATAGCTCAGTGGCATGGGTTAAAACACATCTGTTCCAGCCCTTGGCCGAGTCCCCTGTGTGCACAGGAGCTGTGCTGCTTCATTGAATCCACCTCTCCTATTCCTCACGCTCTCCAGCTTCCCAAAGCTGAGCAGTGTAGGGCTGGAGTTTCTCCTCAGGCATTCCTGGCTTGCGGAAGCTCAAACACGGCAAGTCAGGAGTTGAACAAGTGTTTGTTAAATCCCAGGCCTGTGCTCCAATCACAGGCTCGTCCTTCCTCAGCAGTTCAGGGCTGTGTCAGAACCAGGCTGCTCAAGTGCTGGCTTGGGTGTGTGGTTGTTTTTGCTGAAGTGAGTCCAGCAAGGAGCTGTCTGGGCTCATCTGGGCTGTGTGTGGATCACTGCCGTGGAGGGGGATTGGTCCCATGAAAGATGATCTGTACAGGGAGGTCAGGGGCTCAGCAGGAGATAACCTCTTTCTCTGCACTGATATTAATGAAGTCTCACACATGGAGGCAGGC